ATAAATTCACTCACACACACACACAATAACCGGGGGCGGGGGGGAAGAAGATATAACAACTACAATCCTTTGAAGTTGTTACAACAAGCAAACGGAAAGGACATTGTTGGGTGGGAGGGGGGAGAGGGAGGTTTCGGTGATGGGCCATAATAATCAACCACATTGTATATCAACAAAATAAAAATTTAAAGGAAAAAATAAATAAATTCCCATTTGATAATTCTAATATCTGTGTCATACCTGAGCATGATTCTGATGCCTGCTTTGTCTCTTTGGACTGTTTTTTTCTGCCTTTAAACATGTCTTGTAATTTTTGGTTGAAAGCCAGGCATAATGTATCATCATAGGAACTGAGGTAAATAGGCTATTAGGGTGAGGTTTCACGTTTATCTTGTTAGGAGTTAGGCTGTGTTTAATGTTCGATGTAGCTGCAGGGGTTGGAGGTTTCAGTTTCCTCTAGTGTTCTTACTTTTGTCTCCCCTGTTGTCTTCAGTTTTCCCTAAGAACTCTTTCTTAAATGTAGTCTGTGTGTTGCAGCTCTCTTAGTTGTAATCCACCATCATTATACTAGAGTCTGGTTGATATGGAGAGAAGAATCATTTTATGATTTTTTTAAAGGTTCTTTTATTTTAAAAAATTTATTTATTTGCAAAGAACACATGGTTTATTAAAGACTGCTCGCCATCAACAGCATTGATTCAATGACCAAAACAGGTGAAAAACAAAAGCAGATTAACATTCTGACCATCTGGAGTAAGACCTGCTGAATTTATGCAGCTCAATCTGTAAGTGTCCAATGTCTGGGAGTCAGTTTGTCAAGCAGAAAACCTCAGATGTTCTGGCTTTGTGGGAACCTCCCTTGAGAATCTGGAGAGGGGATATCATCAAAGGCAGGTCTTTTCCTCAGGTCTTATCCCACTGGAGACCTCTGCCTAACCAAGACATGGTCCTTGTGCTCTCGACTTTCACCTTAAGGTCTAGGAGAGGGCACTGGACCCAGCTCTGCCACAGAAGCAAATCAGATGCAGTGATTCAAGTAGTATGGTCCCAAGAGAGAGGGTAGGGGGACAGGAAAAGGGAATGCATCAGGTGTCCTGGGTAGTATCTGCTGGGTCCCAGGCAGTGGCCCAAACTTCAGGCTGTGAAGGGGCCAAAGTTGGGGCTGAACTACCAGTTGACAAGTTCTGGATAGAGGGTGCACAAGGCTGGCGGGAAGCAATGTCTGCCTCATCCCAGGGGTCTTCAAGTCTGGCAGGTGTACTGTCTCTCTTGTGTCCTGCACACTTAGTTCCAGTACAGACATCAGAGCCGTCCCACCAGTTCCTGCCGGGAAACTGGGGAGGTCCCTGAGGCTGGGGAGAGGATGCTGACTTTGACCTTGGGAAATCAAGAGAACTGTGTTTCCAGCTTCTTTTTACCTTCCAGCCCCAAAGCACTTGCCAATCTGCAATAAAAAGCCAGGAGAGTGAATAGTAAAAATTTCCCAAATGCTGTGTTGGGAGAAAAGGAAGCAAAAAAGCACGTGCATAACAACCTAGCAGCAGCCGGAGAAGCCTGGTGAAGGAACCATGGGGGATGATGTTTCTGGCCCACAGCTGGGTGGGGGAGGGTGGCAAAGAAGCCGTGCCCTCCAAACTCAGCAAGGCTTCAGGGCAAGAGGGCTGCTGGAGCCCTGCTCCTGCTGGCCAGTCTGCGGAGAGGATGAGGACCCTCATCCTTCTGTTCCCCAGCCTTCCAGACCCAAACCTCCTGTGCTCCTTACCAAAGGAGGGAGGCGACTTGATTAGAATAAGCCCTGCTCCTCCAGAAGTGGGAGCAGTCAGCTGCTCCTGCTCGGTGACAAGGAGAAGGTCAGCACCTCCCTCAGCCTGCATGGGACAGAGGGGCACGTGAAGGTGCAGACATGGCCCTCCTGGCACTGACAGATCCAGGGCTTCATGCTCAGCTACTCCTGGCCCCAGGAAGGCTCCCTTGGTGCCACCTGCCTGTCCTTTATGAGACTCACTGCCCCAGGGGGAGGGGTGCCTGGGAGCCAAGGGAATGACAACTCCTCTGATGTACTCGGATTCCAACCCAGGACAGAATCACCTTAATGTCCTTTTCCTTTGGGACAGGAGGGCCTTTGGGAAGCTCTGGAAAGACCCAGCTCTCCCGCTTCTCCCTCCTCCATCCACAAAGCAGGGGCAGGAAGCTGGAAGCTTTGCCTGGATCAGCATTTCTCAGCTGCTCTTGGTTTCCAAGATTTCTGTCATGAGGAGCAGGTTCAGGGCCCTCTAGTGAGGCACTGGGGACTCGCTTCCAGTCTGGGGGACCGGGGAGCTTCAGGCTGGGGGATGGGAACAGGATGCAAAGGCCCAATCTGACCTCCAGGGGCCTTGCTGAGCCAGACTCCTCATTCTGTCTCCTGGGTTCAGGGGAGCAGGGGGAGGAGGGAGGAGAAGCTCAGGATGAGGTATCCAAGGGGGAATGGCAGAGGGAGCATAATGAAGGAGGGACACGTGGAGCGAGAGTCACACAACTGTCTCCTGGGTTCAGGGGAGCAGGGGGAGGAGGGAGGAGAAGCTCAGGATGAGGTACCCAAGGGGGAATGGCAGAGGGAGCATAATGAAGGAGGGACACGTGGAGCGAGAGTCACACAAACCCTCTGTGGAAGAGGCGGAGGAGACAGAGGCAGAGGTAGAGCGACAGAGAAGGAGAAGCAGAGAGACCTAGAAGGATTCAAAGATACCCTCACCCCCCTCACGAACACACGCACCCACCCACGGAGGAGAAACAGAGACAGCTGGGGGATTCAGGGACACACACACCAACCAACAACGACAAACCGACACACACACAGTAAGATGGGGGCAGAGGCATGACCTGGGCCTGGCAGCCCCTTAGGTCCTTCAGAGTCACCTTCCCATGGAGAAGCCTAAGCACCATCCCCCAGCAGAAGCGGTTTCTGGCCCTTTTGCCATGCACCTCCCTGGCTAGTGCCAGAAAGCCAGAAGCAGGAAACGAGAAAGGGAGCAGCAAAGCAGAGACAGGGAGGGACCCTTGCCAGCTTCCCGCTGCCCCAGGTACAGTTCCACATCCTCCTCTTTCGAGGTGGAGCACACCTTCCCCATCTTGTAGGTGATGCCACGTTGTGAGTCATCCAGGCTCTTGATAAAGTTGTCCTCTCAGCCGTGTTTGGTGAAGTGGAAAAAGGTGTCTGCCTCAGTGTCCTCTTTCCACTTGCTGGCAGGGTTGGTGGCAAAGGTACAGTAGAGGGGCCCCACGGTCTCATTCATGCCTTGCACATAAGCGATGCCAGGGCTGAGCTTGGCATAGATGAACAGGATCCACTCCACCTCCCAGCGGGCCTCACAGCCGTTTAGCAGCACCTCCTGCTCATTCAGGGACCACAGCCGAGAGTGCTTCTTTGGGGAGCTCATGTTTGTGACCCTGCTCTGGCTGTGGGCCACTGTCTGGGATTTTAGCAATGTCTGTTCCACCCACTTACAAAGGGGCTCAAATTCATTCTGGGGGTCCAGAATGAGGCGTCAGGGGTACTCGGTGGCCCTCTGGAAGAAGGATATGTCTGGGCACAAACTCCGGACATCTTTGTCAATCTGCACCATCACCTTGTTGTCCTTGAAGTATGTGTTCCACCAGCTGTTGGGGTTGAGGTTGAGTAGATGGTCCTCAAAGGTCACATCCTCCCTGGATACACCCACGTTGGCCTTGGAAATACCAGGCTGGATAATCATTTCCCTTGGGAACTGAAAATACAGCTCCCTCTGCTTGGCCAGGATGGATGTGCATGAGGCTCTCTCCAATGGGAGGTAGTTCAAGAGAATCTGCACAGCAGGAGTGAAACGCTCTGGGAACTCCCCCACCCCAACCTTGGACAGCACGTGGAAGCTGACAGGCCTCAAGAAAGCATCTTAGAAAGCCCAGGGAAGACAAGATGAGCTTCCAGCAGAGGCACCACAGTCTGCCCTCACCGGGTATGCCACTAAAACTGAGTTCCTGAAGCTTTTCCAATGCAATTGAGGGATCCTTCAGGACAGCCTGGAAATCTGCAATCCAGCTCTTGTGAAGACTCAACGTGGTATTGACTTCCAGAACCCCACCCCAGCCCCACCTCCACTGCCACCTCTGCAGCTGCCCTATTTTTAAATTTTTTTTTATTTTAACATTTACTTGTACATATTTGTGGGGTACTTTAATACATGCATATACTACACCATGATTCGCTTGGGGTAGACAGCATAGTTTTGTACCCATTAGTCCACCACTTCTCCTCCCCCATACCCGCCTCCCCTCCCGGCCTCTGGAAATCATTATTCTACTCTCTACTTCTACGAGAACCACTTTTTTATTTTTTAAGATTACCCATAGGAATGAGATACACAGTATTTGTCTTTCTGTGCCTGACTTCACTTAACGTGATGGTTTCCAGTTCTATCCATGTTGCTGCAAGTGATAGGTTGCCATTTTTTTTTATGGCTGAGTAGTATTCCACAGTTTTTTTCTCCATTTAGCCACAGATGAGCATTTAGGTTGATCCCACCTCTTGGCTATCATGAGTAGTGCTGCAATGAACATGGGAGTACAGGTGTCTTTTTGATATATTGATTTCATTTCCTTTGGGTCTATATCTAGTACTGGGATGGCTGGGTCATAAGATAGATCCATTTTTAGTTCTCCAAGGAACCTCCATACTGTTTTCCACAGTGACTGCACCAATTTACATTCCCACCCATAATGAAGGAGGATTCCTTTTTCTCCCCATCCTCACCAGCATTTGTTATTTTCTGTCCTGTTGATAATAGCCAGTCTAACTGGGGTGAAACGATATCTCATTGTGGTTTTAATTTGCATTTCCCTGATGATTAGTGATGTTGAGCATTTTTCATGTGCTTGTTGGTCATTTGTATGTCTTCTTTTTAGAAATGTCTGTTCAAGTCCTTTGCCCATTTTTATGTTGGGCTATTTGATTTTTTGCTGTTGAGTTGTTTGAGTTCCTTATATATTCTGTATATCAGCCCCTTGTCTGATGTGTGATTTGCAAACACTTTCTCCCATTCTGTAGGTTGTTTCTTTACTTTGTTGATAGTGTCCCTTGCTATGGAGAAGCTTGTCAATTTGATGTAGTCCCACTTGTGTATTTTTGCTTTAGTCCTGTACCTTTGTACCTTTGTAGTCTCACTCAAAAAAGCAATGTCCACTCCCATTTCATGTAGTGTTTCCCCTATGTTTTCCTCTAGAAGTTTCATTGTTTTGGGTCTTAAATTTAGTCTTTAATCCATTTTGAGTAGGTTGTTGTAAATGAGAGATAGGGGTCTAGTTTCAATCTTCTGCATGTGGATATCCAGTTTTCCCAGCACCATTTATTGAAGAGGCTGTCCTTTCCCCACTGTATATTTTTGGCACATTTGTCGAAAATCAGTTGGCTATAAATGTATGGGTTTATGTCAGAGCTCTCTATTCTATTCCATTGGTCTATTTTTCTAGTTTTATGCCAAGTACCATGCTGTTTTGGTTACTATACTTTACAGTATATTTTGAAGTGATGAAGTGTGATGCCTTCAACTTTGTTCTTTTTGTTCAAGATTGCATTAACTTGCATTCGGTGTCTTTTGTGGTTCCATAAAATTTTAAGGATTGTTTTTTCTATTTCAGTGAAGAATGTCATTTTGGTAGGGATTGTGTTGAATGTATAGATTGCTTTGGGTAATATGGATAATTTGATGATGTTAATTCTTCCAACCCAAGAACATGGGATCTTTCCATTTATTTGTGTTCTCTCTCTCTCTCTTTTTTAAACCAGTGTTTTATAGTTTTCATTGTAGAGGTCTTTTACCACCTCAGTTAAATTTACTCCTAGGTGTTTCATTCATTTCGGTACTATCGTGAATGGGATTACTTTCTTGATTTCCTCTTTAACTATTTCATTATTAGTGTATAGGAAGGCTGTTGATTTTTGTATGTTAATTTTGTATCCTGCCACTATACTGAATTCATTTGTTAGTTCTAGTAATTTTTTGGTGCAGCCTTTAGAGTTATTTGTGTATAAGATCATGTCACCTGCAAATAGGGATAGTTTGACTTCCCCCTTTCCAATCTGTATATTTTTGGCACATTTGTCTAAAATTAGTTGGCTATAAATGTGTGGGTTTATGTTAGAGCTCTCTATTCTATTCCATTGGTCTATTTTTCTAGTTTTATGCCAAGTACCATGCTGTTTTGGTTACTATACTTTACAGTATATTTTGAAGTGATGAAGTGTGATGCCTTCAACTTTGTTCTTTTTGTTCAAGATTGCATTAACTTGCATTCGGTGTCTTTTGTGGTTCCATAAAATTTTAAGGATTGTTTTTTCTATTTCAGTGAAGAATGTCATTTTGGTAGGGATTGTGTTGAATGTATAGATTGCTTTGAGTAATATGGATAAGTTGATGATGTTAATTCTTCCAACCCAAGAATATGGGATCTTTCCATTTATTTGTGTTCTCTCTCTCTCTTTTTTTAAACCAGTGTTTTATAGTTTTAATTGTAGAGGTCTTTTACCACCTCAGTTAAATTTACTCCTAGGTGTTTCATTTATTTCAGTACTATCATGAATGGGATTACTTTCTTGATTTCCTCTTTAACTATTTCATTATTGGTGTATAGGAAGGCTGTTGATTTTTGTATGTTAATTTTGTATCCTGCCACTATACTGAATTCATTTGTTAGTTCTAGTAATTTTTTGGTGCAGTCTTTAGAATTATTTGTGTATAAGATCATGTCACCTGCAAATAGGGATAGTTTGACTTCCCCCTTTCCAANGTGTATAGGAAGGCTGTTGATTTTTGTATGTTAATTTTGTATCCTGCCACTATACTGAATTCATTTGTTAGTTCTAGTAATTTTTTGGTGCAGTCTTTAGAATTATTTGTGTATAAGATCATGTCACCTGCAAATAGGGATAGTTTGACTTCCCCCTTTCCAATTCGGATGCCTTTTATTGCCTTCTTTTGCCTTATTGGGCTGGCTAGAACTCCCAGTACTATATTAGATAAGAGCGCAGAAAGTGGGCACACTTATCTTCTTCCAGATCTTAGAGGAAAAACCTCCAACTTTTCCATTCAGTATAATATTAGCTATGGGTTGGTCACATATGGCCTCTATTGTGTTGAGATACATTCCTTCCATACCTAATTTGTTGAGTGCTTGTATCATGAAGGGGTGCTGGGTTTTATCAAATGCTTTTTCTGCATCTGTTGTAGTGATCATATGGTTTTTTTCCCTTCATTCTGTTGATGTGATGTATCACATTTATTTGCATATGTTGAACCATTCTTGCCTCCCTGGGGTGAATCCCACTTGGTCATGGTGAGTGATCTTTTTAATCTGTAGTTGGATTCTGTGTGCTAGTATTTTATTGAGGATCTTTGCATCTGTGTTCATTAGGGATATTGGTCAGTAGTTTTCTTTTTTTGTTGTGTCTTTTTCTGGATTTGGTATGAGGTTAATGCTGGCTTCTTAGAATAAGTTTGCAAGTATTCCCTCCTCTTCAATTTTCTGGAACAGTTTGAAAAGAACTGGTATTAGTTCTTCTTTAAATGTTTGGTAGATTTCAGCAGTGAAGCCATCTGGTCCTAGAGTTTTCTTTGTTGGGAGACTTTTTATTACTGCTGCTATTTCATTACTTGTTATTGGTCTCTTTAGGTTTTCTAGTTCCTCATGATTCAACCTTGGTAAGTTCTATGTGTCCAGGAATTTATCCATTTCTTCTAGGTTTTCCAGTTTGTTTGCATACAGTTGTTCATAGTAATCTCTTATGATGCTTTGTATTTCTGTGGTTTCAGTTATAATGTCTCCTTTTTCATTT